AAAAAAAAACAAAAAAAAAAAAAAAAAAAAGCAGAGTGAACGATGAACAAAAATTAGCGTTTCTGCAAAAACAATAAAAAAAAAAAAAAAAAAAAAAATTTAGTAAACAGTGAATGGTGAACAGTAGGGCGTGAATGTTGAGTGGTGAATGGTGAAGGTCACAAACGAGCAAAACTCACTTAGTGTTTAAAAGTGCCACTTTTTTTTTTTTTTTTTTTTTTAGCTAGCTGTATGAGGTAGCGATGATCGCATGTGTGTAATACTGGCACCTCCGTCCATACCTTCTTCCCCATCCCTTTACAGATTATTAATGAAGTTTAAAAAGCACATAAATAACATCATAGACAAGGCGTTTAAAACGGACTTCACTTCCTTCATCGGATTCGTCTGCTTCGTCATTATGGTACGTCTGTTGTGTTCGCGTGCCGCGTCACCCCTGCACCACTTCGCCACTTCACCGCCCTACCCCCCTTGACTGGCCCACCCCTTCCCCGCGCAGATAATACTGACGAGCGTTTTGGTAGTGCACACGATTTATAAGTTCATAAATAACCCTGTGCCGACAGCCGGCGCGCAGGAGAAAAAAAAAACCCAGTGAAACGAAGCAAGCGTAAGACAAGGTGGCGCAGCCATGTTGTCACATTGATTCTTTTTCTTTCCCGGTTGCTCCTTTTTTTTTTTGATTTGTTTTCCATTTTGTATCGTCCCGCCGCTACTCCAGGGCAAGGTCGCCACTTTTTACACACATATGCAAAGGGGGAGAACCCCGTAAGTTTTTTTTTTTTTTTAAATTTATGGCCTTGGGAAGGTTCTAAAACTACCCAGAGTAAAATGCCCCGATCGATCGGGTGTGTATGTTTTGCGATCTTCCAAGTTGGCGGCTGGAAGTCGTCTTAAGTGATATAAACTCGCTTCCTTGCCCTTACGGGTAGAGAGAGGGAAGAGCTTCCTTCTCCTGATCTCACTGTGGGTGAGTATTGGCACACAGGAGGAACGAAGTGGAAAATCGTTATTTTCCCTGTTGCGGGCGCAAAAGAAAAATAAAAAAAAGAAAAAAAAAAGAGTTAACACAACACAGGCACATTTCAATCGCTCTGTTTTTACACTCACTTGTGGTGCCTATTGTACATACGCTTGGAGTCACATTATCACTCGTCCTGCGTTCTATTTTCATTTGATCATATGACGGCGGTGAATTCTTCACACCCCTGGGGGACTTCCGAACTGGTCAACAAAGAAAAAGAACAAACAAGCTCCACGGGATGTTCACTATACTCGCAAAAAAAAAAAAAAAAAAAAAAAAAATGTACAGTGCTAAGGTATAGCTACCGGGAGGAAGAAAAAAAAAAAAAAAAAAAAAAAAAAAAAAAAACAAAGATACATATATATATACATATGTGTATCCACATATGATACACTTTCACATAATAAAGAGAGCGAGTAAACAGACATAACAGACATGCGAACGTGAAGTAGAAAGTGCACCGCTTCGCAACACAGGCTGTCATGTAAGTGTGACCCGCTCACGCACAATCAATCGACTTCCATCCCCTTGAAGGAAATAATTTGATACTACTCCTCTTGGACTTGGAAAAGGGGATTAACGCACACCTGTCCCAATTTACACATTATGCTAAGAAGTAAAAAAAAAAAAAAGAGGCAGGACAGAAAGGATAATACTTGCACTTGAATTTCCATTCTCAGTTTATTTATTATTGTGCACGTCTCTCCCCTATGTGTCTCTACTGCTAACCTTTTGGGGGTTGTTGCCTTCGCTTCTTTTTCAAGGC